ATCCTCCTGCCTCAGCCTCCCGAGTCACTGGGAGGACAGGTGGGTGTCACCGGGCCCAGGTCGGTAGGGCTTCACTGTGGACTGTGGTGACAGGGAGGCAGGGACTGTGACGGGAGGTGGGGGAAGGCCCAAGGAAGGGGTGGCCTTCAGGGCCTCCTGAGTGCTGATGATGTGACCGTGGTGAGGCCGATCGTGGAGGCCGGGTGGATGGCGGTCAGGCTGACCAGCGGTGCCCACGGGCTGTGTCCGTGACCTCAGCAGGAGAGGACAAGGGGGTTGGCGAGAGCGGGGTTTGGAGAGGCCTGTCCTGGGGGTGGCCTCTGCAGGAGCTCACAGCCAGCGAGGGCCCGGTGCAGGGCGTCCAGCACAGCCGAGGGCCCAGGTGCGCCTTCTGCACAGAGAGAAGAGACGGGGGAGTGGGGACACGCTGGTCCCCGTGACCCCTGAGCCCCGTCCCCAGCCCTTTTTCTATTTTATTGAGAGACAGGGTCTCGCTGAGTGGCTCAGGGCCTCCCTAAGTGGCTGAGGCTGGCCTCCACCTTGCAATCCTCCTGCCTCAGCCTCCCGAGTCACAGGGATGATGGCCACTGTGTCCCCACGGTATTTTGAACCTTCTAAAGCCCGTTCCTGACTCCCAGGTGGATGAGGGACCACGGTGTGAGCCTTGGTTCGCTGCCAGGGCTCAGGTCTGTCCAGTGTCCTGAATGGTCCCCAGCACCCAGGGGGGACACCAGGAACCGTGGGCCAGAAGCTCCCCGTCTCTGCGGGGGTGTTCAGGACAGGAATCGTGTCACCACCGTGCAGACAGAACACTCAGGAAAGCCGGGGGCTGTGGCCCACGCCTGTCACCCCAGCAGCTCGGGAGGCTGAGGCAGGAGGATCGAAAGGACACGGAGGACAGGGAGTGCTGTTCGACGTCTGCCCAGTCGCTCTCCTACCCTGGGCGGGGTTCCTCCAGGCGTCCAGGGTGCTCAGCAGGATCTGCCCCAGGGCTCTTTTCGAGATGTTCTTCAAAAGAAACGGAGACAGGAGGGGATCAGGCCACGGGTGGTGGGTCGTCCCTCAGCAGGTGAGTTTCTATGCAGCAACCTGGGGACGGATAAAGTGTCCCCACCCGTGGGCTGGCCTCACTGGGCTCCTCACAGACCCTTGGTGCGGAATGGAGCCTCGTGCAGTCGCCATTGCCTCAGAGATCATGTGTGCAGTGGCCCACACCTGTCATCCCAGGGGCTGGGGAGGCTGAGGCAGGAGGATCGAAAGGTGGAGGCCAGCCTCAGCCACTTAGTAAGGCCCTGAGCCACTCAGGGAGACCCTGTCTCTAAATAAAATAGAAAAAGGGCTGGGGACGGGGCTCAGGGGTTGAGTGACCCCGGGGTCCATGCACAGTACTGTCCAAACGGGGTGACAGCCTCCAGCCTGAGTGGAGGCCACATGCCGCTGCGGAGAGGACCCTGTCCCCTCTGCCGTGGGCCCACCAGGTCGAGGAGCCTCTGCAGGAGCTGCAGGACGTCGGCCAGCTTCTCCTCCAGCAGCGACAGCCGCACGCGCTCCGTCTCCACCAT